CAGAGAATACTTAACAATGTTGTAAAAAATCTTTGGTATATGTGTGATAAGAGAAGTGACTCGAGTGCAGGTACTGTCAATGAAAAATTTAAAGCAAGTGACAATGTGAGAACAATGTGACAATGTTTGTTAAGTGTGATGAACCCACAGAGAATTACCACGTTGGAGCTGCAGCTCCCCTCGGCTTTATGGAACTTGATGGCCAGTTTCAGCTCAGTGTTTAACTTTGGACTTACAACTTTCCTCTTTTGGTTCAGTCTCACCACTTTTCACAGTTCAGGTTCCCAGATGCAGCAGGCAAATGTTTAAAGAAACAGCAAAATCTCTGCGAATCTCACCTCTAAATGGCAGAGCAACATGTTTAGCAACCAGCTAATACTAAAAATAAATAAATAAAGTATATAAATAAGTAACCGTTTGCTAATGAGATCATCATATCAGCTTAAAAGGGTCAATATGTAAGTGTTGTGTTTTCCACTTATTTCTCCAAGTGGCTTTGAAAAAAAAAGAAGTATAATCAATGCTATTTGTTAATGAATGTCATAATTACTGCATAAACCACTATTTTTTTTGCCACTTTAATGCCTGGTTGACACCTGGCAGACACGAAGCAATGTTAGCATATCATTTGGAGGTGTGTTTTTGGCGTATTAATTAATTAATCTAAGTCCACGAGTCACTCCTCTTTTACCTCTGTTTTGGTCTCCACCAACTAAAAAGTTAATCAACATATTATCAAAATATGTGCAAGTGGAGCTGCAATTTTTGATGAAGATAAAATGTTGGCAGATGCTGGTAAGGATATCAGCAAAAATTCACATCTTCATTTTTATAATTGTTTTAATGAAAGAAAGAAAAATCTGTTAAAATAATCACAAGAGGATGTTTTGCATAACATTCAGGTCCACTAATATCTGAGGGAAATAACCCCTTTGTTTCTGGGTAGGTAGCATACATTGTGTGTTTAAGAGTTGTTTTTTTTGGGGTTTTTTTTTACAGCAGCTGTCTGCTACAGTTGGACATGTGGTGTAGAATGGTTATAAAGAACCAGAACAGTAAAGTTAGCTTACATTCGAACTTTATTGTCCCTTAAAGGCAAACTGAGGAGCTGAAAGATGCTGAAATGTTCTGCAGAGTAGAGAACATGATGTTCTGTTCATTTATCTTAAGAATATGCAGTAAATGTATTAATTAATGCAATAATTCAGTGGTAACATACACAGTGCCCTTTTCACGAATTTAGCATTTTAATGTGACCTTCATCATATCTACCATATTAACACAGAAGTGGATATAGTCTTATGTTAAGATCCATAACCATTAACAGCCAGTGCAGCATCTCCCTACAGCACAAGAGCTTATCTTTTTTCAGAAACCTCTTCGGTTGCCAGTTTGACTTGTCCGTCAATTCTTTATCTATTTCTTCCCTTTCACTTGTCGTCTGTGGGTGCAAAACATTAACGCTCTTCACTTAGACTGTCTAGTCTCACGGCAGAACATGTAACAGATAAAGGTCACGTTCAGTTCAGGCTGTGTTTTCTTTGAAAGACAGATCCCACCTTCAGATGCAGAAGGCTGAGGTGAGTAATAGAGTATGTTTTGCTGCACCTGTAACAGGCTTTTTACAGGGCTGTAGGGCTCCTGACAGTTTGATTCATGTAGTCACAAGGCTCATGCATACACATGTGCACATATACAAGCCCACGGTTTGTATATGTGATGCTGTAATGGATAACACAGGTGAGATGCAGTTACTTTACGGCTTTTCTCACCCTTGGAGCTCAGTCAGTATGCGGATGCATGTTCAGATCGCTCCCAGAACTTGCAACCGCAGAGCCAGGACCCTACTGTGTAATTTCCCCCATGATGCACAACCTGGAGCTGCTTCATTAAGAATGCATGTAAGACTAACCTTGTAGAGAATTTGTGCTTCAGCCCTTCCATCCAGATGAGCTTCGATTCACAGTGGTGACAACAGATGTGAAGCAGAAAATTGACTCTTTCTATACATGCCCAGGAATTCCCCACGGTGCTCTCATGATCACCTTTTCAATTTGTTCTTGTTCATTGCTACTGGAATTGTACGTTAGAGTCGCACAAAATAATCTCAACACATCCCATGTCAATACGAAACAAACTAGAAACCAGATGCTTGCATGGCTGTTGTTCAGTGCGAGCTTTGATGGTGTCATTTTAAGCCACTCTCTCAGTAAAGCATTGACTTTGTATTGAGGTGAAATACTTGACACATAAAGTCAAGTCAGGTAGGACTTTGATTTATACAGTAGTATCTGATTTAGACGCGCATTTTCAGTCAGGTGGAACAAACTCAGTTCAAATACATATAAATTGAAAAATACTGCCTGCAATCTTCACCAAGTTTTAGTGGCTTATGTCCCCAGATGTATATCAGCAGGTTGTATAATGTCCTGCAGTTATTTTTTTTCAATTATTTGCAACATTACTGACTTGACTTTTGTGGTTAGTAACGTCAGTCTGCCTGTTGCTCTGTTGGTTAAACCACAACTTGAACCAGACTGAAATATCTCAACTATTAGATGGATTGCCAGAAAATTGGATTTTGACATTCATGGTCCTCAGGGGATAAATCCAAATGACTTTTGTGATGCCATACCAGGAAATTTAGTCCAGACATTTTTAGTGTCCATAAAGTAGATTCCAATAAACCTGCTTACCTTGGAACCTTTAATCTAACAGAACCACTGACACAAAGCTTGAATTCGCCATGCATCTTTGATTTTTGTCTAAAAATCCTCAAAACACAAGACAACACTTAGCAAGATGTGTTTAACTTTTGCTCAACACTAACATATTAGTATTTACATTAAATGCCTAGATGCAGTTAGTTATTATATGTTATAGTTATATTATTGTTTGTCTAAATTGTTGGTCAAGTGTCCACTGATAATTCAGCTCCACTGAACAGACATGAAACATGCAAGATTACAACATCAGTAATATGCTGTAAAGATTGCAACCTTTCTCAAATTGTTAGTCTCAAGAACATTTTTCACGTTGCTTTCTTTCATTTGAGGTGTGACTTGGGGGGTAGATGCAGATAGGAAATGATTGTCCAGAGAAGGCTTTGTTTCAATAAGCTGAACAAACATTTGCATGACAGTAGTGGATGGAAATATGCATCAATTCATATGTTCCAGCGCATATTTTCTTAAAAACCAAGTAAAATGTGCTCTAAACTTGGATGAAAACATAATCCAACTATACTCACGACTGCACCTACTTACTAAACAGAGTTGCAGTTACAGCAGTTGGCTGCAATGTAGTTATTTTTATTAGATAAAAAGGTAAATAATATTATTTTTTTAAATTAAATTTAGGGACAGGCTTTTGTTGTGGCTTTACCAGGTTTAATATAGAGAATGGCCCACAGCTTACTGTGTTGGAGATACAAACAACTGATTTTCATTTTTATACAATTTAGTGGTTTTAAATTATGAATTTCCCAGCAGCGACAGAAAAGTAACTACATGAAATCTGTTTTTTTGCTGAAAAGAGGAATTCCCCTCGCAATATTTTGCATGTCTGAAATATGGTCACACATTTTCCTCCATTGAAGGACATGAAGGCTTGTTTATTTGTATGAAATCCTGAGGGGCTTCCACCCTCTGTCACAGTCCGTCTGTGTCACGCACAAACAAACACACACTGTACGCTGCTCGTGCACTTTAACTCTGTCTCACACATACACACCTGTGCACTCGGAAACACACACACACACACACACACACCTGTCGGTCTGAGTCAGATCTGTTGCCGTGAATAATAGAAGACTTGGCTGAGGTCAGACTGCACAAGTGCAGTGGAAACTGGGGAGCGACTTTCACTTAAGCATGCCAGCCATTTATAATAAGTCGGAGAACATGTCTACCAAAAACTAGGCCAAAGCACACAACACTATGATCTCACCAGGGACTGCCAATTGTAACAATATATGGTGGTGAAGTTAGAGCAGCTACCAACCAGAAGGCTGGTGGTAAAACAGACAAACCTCAGCCAGCAGGGAAAATAAAGTGTGGCGGAAACTGTGAGTCACTGTCTACTCTTGTAATTACTACTGATTACTACTGTTAGCAAACTGAGGGAAGCCTGAGTAGAGCTGATCAGAAGGGTGCTGATGGTACTATATGATACACAACACCCCACTGCTGTTGTTACATCTGAGCTCACAGGCTTTCATTTGCCCTGTTAGCCATTAATGAGCGTAACCTGCTCCTGCTGCGAATGAAGAATGCATCTTTTCATGCCATTTTAATAGGTTATGTACATTTATTGTGTTCACTTCTACATTTTAGCTCATGACTCGTGTTTGAGAATATTTTTATGTCATTATTGTGTCTGTAAAGCAAGTCTGGAAACAGCACTGTGTGTTTTTGTGAGAAAAACAAGTGTTTGCTGCCATTTGGTGGCAAGACTGTGTTATTACAGCCAAAAACACACAATAATTGGTTCACACTATATGGCCTGCTGTGGTTCACCCTGAAGCTCTTTTGAACAGCAGCAGTGATGGATTACCCTCTAAGGGAGTGCAATGTAAAAAATAATAATTATAATAATGCCCCCATTGACCATCCCTTTCTTCTGCTCTCTCTACAGTTTGTATGTAGCCGTTTTTGTTTAGGAAAGTTTATAAGGTGTAAATTCATCCAGAAATATGCACCACATAAGCCCAATCTACCCCAAAATGCTAACATATTCTAATATGTATTTTATTTCATTGCCAACTTCTATACGATGTGAACCAAGTTTATTGCAGTTTTACTTTTAGGTTCTTATCATTTCATTTTCTCGCATTTTTGTGGTACAAGCTGTATTACTAAATGCATTTGTCGTAAGTTAAATTAACACAAACCAACTAAAACATGGTAAACCTGCAGTCTGTTGCCCCCTCTGACCGTCTGGAGCCACAGCTGCTTGCTTTGCCTGGTTGTAATCATCAGTTTAGGAAAACTGATTTCAGATTTCTTTTTTTATTCTGATCATCATTACAGAACAGACAGTAGAGAACAGCTGGCTGGACAACATAGTGCATGTGACACATAAAACAACTCATTACTCATGAAGTGATATTGTGCATTTTGTTGCATGTATAATTACAATGATACAGTTATACAAACATGGATTTTCAAATCATACACGCTACTTTAACCTGCTTATTGCTGTCACTCCCCTGCACCCTCATACACACACACCATACAACAAGTTGCATCTAGAACATTACGGTTTCCAGTAGACATTACAGGGTGCAAATCAAACTGCAGGGAGGTAAAGGTTTGTAGCCCGAGCTTGTTTATGCAACAGAAACTGTGAATGTTTTATTGAGTTTTATCCATAAATCATAGTTAAAGACAGTTCTGGAACACAAGGATACGCTGTTTGAGAGTATTTGTGAGTTTGTGTGCATGTGTGCATGTGTGTGTGTGTGTGTTCATTAAGGTGAGCTGAGGTACATCTGCAGAGCGGGGGTGAAGATTAGAACAGTTCCCAGTATTGACACTGTGAGAAAGGCCCACAGGAAAATCCTGTCCAACACCTGAGCCACGAATTTCCAGTCCTGTACCACCTGATGAGACAATCAGATAAAGAGAGAGACAAAAAAAAAAAGCTGTGAGTCTTTTTCAAATCCAAGCAATTGTTCACAGCAAAAAACATCCCTCATTCAGGACACAATAAATACTATGAGTGCTTTATGATACAAAAAAAGGAGTTGTAGTTCTAGTGAGTAAAAAAACTGCAAGAATGTAAAGAAATCCAAGGAGAATGGAACACAGCATGCTTGCAGGAACATTGTGTTTCGGCTTGTGTGCTATGTGTTATTTTATATTTGCTTCTTTGTTACAGCACTTTGGTCTGTCTTGGAGTTTTAAAGTACTATATAAATAAAATTGGATTGGATCGGAACATTTGTCGCATGCTATCTTCCATGGCCGCCCACTCCCACACCTCTCGTATGAAGTGCTCCTTTTTGATGTGACGACTGATGTAGCGGACTGAGTTTGTGGCTTTCTCCAGCATCGCCAGCCAGGCTTGGTTCTCGTCCTCTTTTCCTCCAAGGGGGCCTCTCTGCTGACCGCCACTGTGCCCAGGGACCCCCCTCCTCCCCACACCTCGGCGGGGCTTCAGCTCCGGGCTGCGCATCTCGAAATCTGGATAGTGGTACCTGGAGAGAATAGCACGACGTGAGTTTTTTTGGTTGTTTTTATTTTGCTTATGCAGATTCTGATTTATTCTGGAAAGGAAAGACTGATAGCACTCTTATGTAAAATATAAAATTACTTGAAGGAAACTGACTCACTTTAGCAAAAAGGATGGACACAGGGGGAAACAGCTGGGCGAGCTTAGTCCTGATCAACCAGCACCTCTTAAGCTCATTCTTTGCATATTATATCAGTTCAGTTCACTTAAAAAAACTGTTTACTGTCATATTCATCAACCCTCTGAACTCCAAACTCCCCAGGTTCAAAAAGCATGTTATCTTTGAAAAAACATAAGAAAAAAATAAAAAAAATAAAAAAAGCCAAATTGCCACCAGTTATCAGAGCTAGAAACTTTTTGACAGTCCTTGAACTAATGACTTGTGACTTGCAGTTTCATCGAAAAGCTTCCCCCAAACTAAGCTTAAAATTGTGATATCTCTAAAAAACGACGTTATGGGTCTCATTTAAAACATCACCAAATGTGAACGGTTTGCTTTAACTGGACTTTGTAAAAAAAAAAATTTTTAAATAAATCTGACCTCCTCAGCACAAGCTATTCGTGACTTAGCTGCAACCAAAAATCAAAAAATTTGAGATATTTGGGCTAAATTGGACTAAACTGTCTGCATTTACACAGAGCAGCTAGGAGAGAAGTATAGAGAATTGAATTAAAAAATAAAATAGGAAGATGACTGGAGTCTGTGGAGACACACTGTTTTTTTCACAGTATTGGCAACACCTGTGGGCACCTGGAAAAATGTTGTACATGTTGATTCCATGTTTTTTCATATTTAAAAAAAAAAAAGTAATCAAATAAATTCAACTTGCTTTTTCTTATTTTTTTCATGACATATGGCATTATAACTGTGTCATGCTGCAGAAAAGACATGTTTGAGTTCTCTCCACTTCTAGCCATGGTTGTGCTGTTTTAGTAGAAGTGCAGGACTTTACACTGCAGTGAAAAATGAACCAACATTCAGTGAAAATGTGAGAGGAGCAAAGAAAGAAATGCACAGAAACTGATTTGGGTTCAGAGAGTTAAAGTGCAGATGGTGCATTTCTGCAAATTGAAAACCCTTTGGCCTGTATGTCTTTACATTTACCATAAATTCATTAGTGTGGCATCAATCTCCTGTATTAACTCCTGTCAAAAAAGGATTAAAAAAATCTTTATTTACAGCTGCTCATGTGTTACCTGTCAGTGTGCCCCCTCATGCACAGCAGTCTGGGCAGTCTCTGAAGAAAGAGGCTCTTTACCCAGGGGGCCATGGGGTGGTAGGTGGCAGAGGAGCGGTGGTGGACGTTAATCACAAAGACGGTGACGATGATGGAGAAGGTGACGAAGATCATGATGAAGAGCAGGTACTCTCCAATCAGTGGGATCACCTGTAGATTTGAAAATGTGACAGTTATGCAATCAAGTAGAAAGCTCACTCCAATGTGTATTATAGGTGCTATAAACATTAAATATACATATTATGAGTTTCATAAAAACACACTACTGTATCTATTCAGTACATCTGTCTTTGAAAATCTAACAGTTTCTGTAGTTTGGTAAAATAATCAAAATAATATATTGCTGGTTTCCAAAATGTTTCTTGTGTAATGCATAAGAGAAGCTGATGTTTATTTAGTCATGATGGCTTTATGAGTTGCAGTGCAGCACAATTTGTTTCCCAGTGGTGGCATTTACATTAACTTATGTACTCCACTTACGCTTTAAAATTTTGAGGCACTGTGACTGAGTATTTTCCTCTTTATTCTGCTTTAAATTGCAATCTTCCCACTACATCTACATAAAGGCCGTACAGAATTATCCCGGTTTTAAAGTTCAGTCAAACAACGTTAGTAAAAGCACCAGTGTCGGTGTATTAAGGTTATGCAGGACTTTTGTGCAGGAAAACATAGTGGAATGTTATTAGTACCCATGTTATGATGAGTATTCTCATTATGAAACACAGATATAAACAATTCTGAATGCAAAATTTTAAGAAAAAAATTGTATTTTAAAGAATAAAAGTGCACTTGTTATGCTTATTAAACCTCTATTGAAACATCCATCCATCCATTATCTATACACCGCTTAATCCTCATTAGGGTCTATGGGGGGCTGGAGTCTATCCCAGCTGACTTAGGGCGAAGGCAGGGGACACCCTGGACAGGTCGTCAGTCCATTGCAGGGTTACACTTATAGACAGACAACCAAGCACACTCACATTCACACCTACGGACAATTTAGAATCACCAATTAACCTTAACATGTTTTGGATTGTGTGGGAGGAAGCCAGAGAACCCTGAGAGAACCCACGCTGCATGGGGAGAACATGCAAACTCCACGCAGAATGATCCCGTGTGTCCTCACTGGGACGCGAACTGGCGACCTTCTTGCTGCGAGGCAGCGGTGCTAACCACCGATCCATTTTGCAGCCCTCAATTGAAACAACACAACCATAGATAAGAGTATAATGAATATATATCTCTATATGCATATTTGACCTCAAATCATTGACAGTAGTATTTCTACTCTAACTTAACTAAAATTTTTCACGACTGTCATCCACAATAACTTATTAGCACGTAATAACTCCCAGGAGAGATCTCAGGCAAAATTATGGAAGTATATTGAGGAAAACTGCCTAATAGTGGACTAATATATATAAAATCAGTGATTCTGGACAGTCATTAATGTTTTGAGCTCTGCTTTCGGTGGAGTTTTATATTGGACTGAGATGTATCTGAAGTCAATAGCTTGTTAATTAGGTTGGCATGCAGTTGAAGCAGCAGGTAATTGAGAAGACTCTGCATGTGATCTGTTTTAATTAGGGCATGCTGCAATTAAGATTACAATCAGAATAAGTGAACACATGAAGAAGCAGGATGCCAGTGAAAAAGTACAGTAGAAACTTGACAAAGAGCTGTGTGAAACCCTCATCGTCTACCCACCTTTGAGGACGAAGGTATGATTTCTTCTATGACCAACAGGAACACAGTGAGAGACACCAACACTGAGGTGGAAAGTGACAGTTTTTCTCCTTCGTCCGATGGCAAATAGAACACCAGCACGGTAAGAAAGGACAGGCCGAGGCAGGGGATGATGAGGAACAGGGTGTAGAACAAGGGCAACCTCTTGAGGATAAAGGAGTATGTGATGAACGGGTACCAGTACACCCCATCCCTCCTGCTTCCCTTCACTCCTGTGGCGTTGAGGATCTCCCATTCGCCGTTGTCAAAGAAGTCTTTACGGTCCACGTAGTGATCCACCAGGACAAGGTCCACCATGTTTCCATCGTAAGTCCAGGAGCCGAACTTCATGGAGCAGTTCTGTCGGTCGAAGGGGAAGAAGGTGACGTCCATGGTGCAGGAGGACTTGTAGCTGGCAGGTGGAGTCCACGTTATGGTGCCGTCCCAGCGCACTATGGCTTTGGTCATCAGGGAGCCCTCAAAGCGACCATCCGCACTGAGAGGACATGGAAAAGAAGCAGGAGGTAAGATGTGACAGAACACACAGGGGGAATATTAAGTGGGAGAAATGGCAGTCAGGAAGGGCAAATTGATTTCGCTTACAAATGAGCCCCAAAGTTACCAAGCACTATCTCAGAATGTGCCGCTAATGTGTGCAGAGTGCTGTGTGACTCACTTTTCATACAGAACAATGTCAGGCAGCCAAATAGTTTCTGAAGGCACTCTGATGGAGGTAATACCCCCATAGTCATCTGGGTTCCACTTCAGCTTCACATCGACCCACTCCTTTAAAAAATAAATAGAATACATATGACGAATGACCATATATGATGCATTTAGCATACAAGGCTGAATGAGACACGGTTTTCATTTCAGCAGCACGGACAGCACAATGCTTCTGCACTTGAACATCTAATCAGATGTCGCATCGCTTTTTCTCCTTTTGACATTTAACAAGGGTGCAAACAAACAGCAAGAATAAATCTGTCACTGCAGTCTACCATTCTTTGTTGTCTGCACCTCTCAGTGTGCTACCAAAATTCCTCCTATGATATGATTTCTCTGATGCACCTTGTTTACAGCTGAATGTCTTGCAGCAGAATTCTGTTTCCCTTCCATCACTATTTATGTATTGGCACATTAAAAAGCTAAAGTTAAATATTTGTTAATTTCCCATATTAATTAATCCTACTTTTTTTTTTTTTTCCAATAACTAAAATTGCCACAGAACAAACTGTAAGAATGTACAATCTGGCACATGTAAAGTTTCTATGACACCTTGCACATTGACCATTAAGTGTGGATTTTGTTATTCTTTATACTGTATGTCACACCTGATCTGGTGTTAAATGGCCTGTGTTTGGGAACGTCTCCCATCATGGGCTTAAATTACAAGATGCTGAAGGGTTATTATGGAGTTTTTTTTGCCCATTGATGCCAAATAATTGCTGCCTACCCAGCTTTAGGTTGAGACATAAAATGTTTGTTGTCTTAAGTAGCAGTTAATAATCAAACATATTTGTAATATGTAACAGAAATCATTATTGAGGAATCAATTCCAGGATATATGCTGAAATGACAACAAAAAGAAAACAAGCAAAGGCAAATAGCAGGTTAAACCTTTCCTAATCTATTAAACAGTACATAGGGCTTCAGCTAATATATTATTCATCATGGCCAGTGATACATTGCGGACACTTTGTCGCTGTACTGTAGTCATGTAGGATAAACTGTCAACTTCAGTGACCGCAAAGCTCTCTTCTGTATTAGTCTGAAATTTCAGTTTCATCAATGTAGGTACTGTTCTTCATGTTGTGCATCTGGAAATATGTGGACAATTAACAATATTTACTTTAGATTGAATAGTAGTTCAGTAAAGCCGTACTGCACCATCAGTAATGTGATAGTGCACCATTTTCAAATAGTTAAAGTAGCCTTTTGTAGTTACTAGTTCTTCATCAAACTGTGTATAAATTAAGCAATATGACAGAGAACTAAAAACTCCAAGTATTCACAGATGTTAAAGAAGGAACTCATAGTATCCAGTATTTGTAAATGGTCAAGTTAGTATTCATCTTTACCTGCCAGAGCCAAACGTTTGTAGTCATCAGCTGGTTCTTTTCATCCTGCAAGAAAATCACAAAAAATGTACTTCACTATTTAGAAATCTGCTGACTGGGGATGATAAGAAAGACTAATGAGGAGCAAACCAAAAGCTAGAGACAAAAAGTTGAGTGGCATGAAAGAAAATATTTAAGCCTGAAAGAAGATTTCTTTATTCAATTTTTTAAGTGGATTAATTGCTTCTTTTCCTTGCTACTTAGGAAGCGCAGTGGAACAGCTTTAGGGGTTAAGTGCCTTGCTTCAGGGTATATCTATCACATTTAATGAGGCAAAAAAGCCAATATCACTGGAAAACTAATATAGAATAGCCGCATAAGTACAACTGTGTTGCTCTTCATCTTGCTCAATATGAAATATTGACATTTACTGTACAAAAACAACAGTAAAAGGCACAGAGAGAGAGCGTGGTGGAGGAGTTTGAGGAGGAGGAGAACGTGGATAGAATAGTTTTCATTGTACTGTAAGCTGCGGAGTTTGCAAGAAAAAAGCTTTGAAGTAATGTAAAAAGTAGAGAATCAGGAAAATCTATGTCATAGATTTGTGTGCCCTCAAGAGGCCGTGAAGCAAACCTGATTGCATTGCTGGAAAAACATTGATCTGAGGCGTTAACAGGGTGTAAATAATAGTAGTTTAGCCAGACTACCACAAGATGGCACTGTCCTAAACGTTGTTTCTGCATGGCAGGAGTACAAAAATGCTGATGTAGTCCAAATGTTGCCCTCTGAGGAGCTGGGCCAAGCGGCTTTGTGAACGTGTATGTGTGTCCTTGTGTAAATAATAAATGCAGTCTGGTTCCTCTTAGCCTGATGGCCTCATTACTTCCTCTGCTGCTTTGCAAGGCCACTCTCTTTTAACCTTTCTTTCATTTTTCCTTTACCTTCCAGTCTTTTAAATCCCTCAGCTCCTCACCCTCATCCTACTTCAACCTCATTCTTCTGTCCTCAGCATATCATCTTCACAACACTTCCTCTTTTGACCTGCCCTAATAACCATTTTGATACAGTTCTTACTGTAAACTGTCATCCTACGTATTTGTGTTTATTCCCTTGATATAAACAACATCTGGCAAATTCTGCTCATTGACTTCTATGTATTGCCTTGTTTACCTCTAAAATAGTCCCCAGTCCCTCTTGTGCTATATTTTCTTCTGAATACAAAGGCAACACAGGAATTCAAATAAGGAACTGCGTAGTACTCCGATGAATAAAAATTTGATATTTGCTGAGCGTGATCTTGGTCTATTCTGACTCACCAGATGTAGACGATGTGTATAAGCCATTAGCTGCTCATTTTAAGTTGGTTTTGTCCTTTCCTTTCACCATGTGATTGTCACCATTTTCAAAATCCTTTTCACTTCAGGAAACAACAACAACCTCTTCGCTAACAACCTACCACACTGAAAATTTCAAGATTTGTACTGAATGTGGATCATGCAGTAAGGCAGCCCTACTATTTTTCAATTTTTTTGGTGGATCATCCATTTTAATAACAGTACTTGTCTCACTGTGTGCAAATTCAAACAATTCCAGCATCAGTATTTTCAGAAGACACTGAAGCTGCATCCTTCCCTTAGCTTTATCCGAGTCAATTGTGATTGGTTTAAAGAAATGCAAACAAGCCAGAGCTTTCCCTCTGTACAGCAGAATGTTAGCTAGGTGCAGCCAGACCATTATGTACTACAGGCTGCCTAACCTAACATTCATTTAGTTCCACTTTGTTACCAATTTTATATAAATTCACTTCCTTTTCCATCCAGTACAACAGCACAAGTAACAAAAGCACAAACTGTGGCCTTAATGAATGCAACAGAGTTGAAAATAAACAAAACCAACCATGATAAATTTCACAAAGGTGTTATTCATGCAGGTGTTTGTGTTCTCATGTGTACCCCTGAACAATTAGGACAGAGCATGCATGAGCCTTGCTTTACATGGTCTTGCATACATAACCTAGCAGACCCATTCCCTGTAAGTAAAACTTGAAATAACTACCTATACGTTACATGCCTCCTGTGTATTTGAGATTGTCTATGTTATTTCCTCACCACATCAACCAGTTGTGAGATCTTTAGTCCAAAGCGTACGGTGATGGTGTCATTGGCGTGCTGGACGGGGCGCACCCACTTCTGGTAGCCCCTGAACAGGTTCCTCAGCAAGGAATCCTCCATCTCAGCCAGCGACACAAAGTCCTCCTGGTCTGCAAGGAGCATGAGAATAAAGATAAAAGAAATTGGGACAGTGTGCATGTGATGGTCATAAACATGGATATGATTTAGCAGTGCTGAAATAGGTAGTTAAATAACAGACACTGCTCCACAGAAAATGTTATATTTATTAAGCAAAATGTCTTGTAATCAAGTTTCTTCAGTCATCTGTCACAGGGCTTCCTGTACTGCTTTGCTAACATGCTGCTGTTTTGCATGTGTCTGATGGAAAAGATATGTTTCTGTTTTAATCAATACAGCGATCTACAGAGACCACACAATGGCTCTACTTGCACTGTACCTGAAGCGTAGTTTTACGTTTAAGGCCTTTTTTTTGGTCTTGTTTCTTTTATGTACATTTAGTGTTACAGTGATTATGTGTTGGACTCAAGAAAGCTGCCAGAATGCAGGTGGCCAACAGCCAGGAATTTGCTGATGTACACTAACTGGAGACTGAAGCTGTTGCTGCTTATGAAGTTGAATGTAAATATCACGTCTTTGGCCTCTGTGGTCTTCTATACTGCTCTGATAATGTGCTGTCTTTTCTACTGTATGAAGGCTGTATACACATTTTGTAATATGCAGACGTGCTCGCAGCTCTGAGGCTCACAGTGACACAGTCAGTATGTTAATATTAGGCAAGTGTCATTTTTACCATAGTTACATCTTAAATACTATCATTTGCTAATGAGCGCTAAACTCAAAGTATTGCTGAGGTTGAGGGGAATGTCATTTGTTTTAAAGGTATTTGGCCTTAAACCAAATATTAAATTAAATTAACATCTATATGTTGGAGTTTAATAAGAAGTCAAGAGATGCTACAATTAATCCTGAGGAGAAAATGAAAGCTTGCAGAAATCTGGAAATATTGAGTACATTACCTGTGAACAATGAATGTCTATGAAAAAATTTGTACCAATCCATCATGTACCCATAGAGATACGTAGAGGTACTATGAATATCTGTATAAAACATTAGGGCAATTTATCCAGTAGATGATATTTAAGCCTGGGCTACCATTCACTGGCCTTAGATTATCAAATACGATGTTTTAATGGCTTAATTTTTTTTCCTCACTGTCAATTTAATTTCTTAGGGGTTTGGACTTTATAGTGGACAAAGCTTGCCATATGAAGATGTTATTTTGTATTCTGATAAACTGGAATTACTGTTTTTTTCTATTATATGCATTTACATTTATTATACATTTTATAAAGTAAATTAATATGTTCATAAAACTAAAAAATAAAATTAGTTGCAGCTCGAGCTACATGGTTGTTCAGCTCACATGTATGTAGCATTCATGTGCACCGACAGATCTGCACCCTTTTTCAAATTGGAAATATTTAAGAACATACAAAAAGTCATGCATGAATAAAGTGTACATCTCTCCTTAGTCTCAAAAGTAAGTGGGAGGAAAAATTAAGTCTGGGTTTTAAAGTCAGCCACACACACACACACACACACACACACACACACACACACAGTCAACCTCGGACTGACAGCTGGTCATGGCCGAGCGAATGCATCTAGGCTCCCAAGGCTGACAAAATGATCATGCTGACATGATCACCTCAGACAGAACAATTGCCAGGGGAGACAAACTGAGCTCAGAGCGCTATGTGCAGTCAGGCACAAGACATAATAGTCAGTTAAAGAGTGACGTTCATGCTGAGCCGGAAACTGTGGGATGAAGGAACAGTGCTTTCACTTCACCAGTCGCCATTCATTTGCAAACAGCTGAGCGATATCAACTCTCTCAGCCAGACGGTTACAGCGAAGACCAGGCAAAATTATAATGTGAAATTGAGTTTTGTTCAGCTTCACTAATCAGTTGAAAATACATGTATATGGGTGTAAAAACTTGGACCGAATAGAGAAACTTTCCTGTCAATAAAAGCAAAAGGTATAGTCTAGTAGTTAGACTTTTCAGGGACTATACAGCAAGTTAAAGTTGGCTTCTACTATGGCCAGATTTGTTTATCAAGAGCTGTATGCCCTGGTACATTGTCCTAGAGCAAACGGACTGCTCAGAGCATCATGTGATATTTGTACTTGAGCTGCACACGAGAGCCTTAGCAACTTACTGGCTCTATCAGCTCAAAGCTCGGAGCATTTGTCCGCATAAGAGGCCAATATTTGGCACAGCCTTTGGTGGCACAACAGAGACTGATAGACAGAAATGAGAAGTTCGAATCAGCAGCCTCTTAAAATGAGGGGAATACAGCAGAGGAGTGGAGAGAGCTGATAAGGAAAGGAGTGAGACAGAGTGACCCAGAGCAATTCCCTCTAGTGTCTGAAACAGACAGAATGAGGAGGAAGGGGAGAGGTCGGTACAGAAGGATACACTAACTGGGGCAAGGGGAGTGAGAACAGACAGCAAAACAGATAGCAAGGAGAAAACAAATTCCCATTTCAACTTGCATCGTAACACAGAGGCACTGTTCTGTGTTGTGCAAGCCAATCCCTTCTGAACATCCTTCTGAACATGTTGCATATATCAGTTGATACTACCTAATGCTGCTGTGCTTTCATGGAGAGATGTAACAAGGGCATCCCTAATTATAAATGTATTAATAGATTAAAAAAATAAACTGAACAGGTCAATATAACAGAAAATATTAACTTAATTTCAGCTGCAGTTGATTTAGAAAGTATTTAATCATATTCACTTTTTGCCCTTTATTATGTTGTAGATTTATTTTCCAATATATAAAATAGAAAATTTTGCTAGTCAATCTACATTCACTGGCTCATAATGCCAAAGTAAAAACAAAATTTAAAAAATATATATATATAAAACCTTTCATCTACCAAAGTATTCAAACCCTTTACTATGGTACTGTAAATTGTGATCAGGTACATTCTTGTTTGCTTCAATTATCTTTAAGCTGTCTACAACTTGACAGGAGTCCATTTGTGGCAAATTCAATTGAATGGATGTAGTGGTACAGGCACACATGCATATGTAAACACAATTCACACAGTATTTCTAGTCAAAAACTAAGCCATGAAGAAAAAGAAACTCTCTTTAGACCAAAGTGATAAAATTGTGGTGACATACAGATGTGGGAAAGGGTGTGAAACTATTTCTAAAAATGTAGATGTTTCCAGAAGCATCATGGCCTAAATAATTGTGAAACAGAAGAAGTGTGGAACCACCAAGACACTTCATAGCTGTGGCCATCCAGGCAAATTGAGTATTCAAGCAAGAGGGGTCTTGGTTCATGAGTTGACTACTGACCCAACCCTCTCTAATAGAACCTCAGAAGACCTCTACAGTGAAGGAAGAACCTGCCAAAAGGACAACCATCTCCATGTTAGTGAGGCTTTTATGGTAGAGTGACAAGACAGAAGCCACTCTGGAGTAAAAGGCACATAATAGGCCACTTGTGGTTTGTCAAACTGCATTTAGAGGACTCCTTAGAGGACAGAACACATCTCCCTGTTCTGATGAGATAAAGCTTTAAAGTATAGTGTTTAACGTTTGAGAATAAGATTTAAGATTCTTTGGTCAGAACTCCAAGGAGGATACCTTTTGAACGCCGACCACTGTTGGTCACTTGTTAATACCATCTCTACAGTGAAACATGTGGGTGGCACCATCATGCTATGGGACTGCAGGTACAAGGTAACTCGTCAGGGATGAGGTAATAATAAATGTAACCAAATGCAGAGAGGTCCTTGAAGAAAAAGGGATTCGAAAATTACTGCACATAAGCGTGGCAATGACCTGTAATATACAGTCAAGCCCAAACCTAAACCCCAAAGAACATCTGTAAAATGACTGGAGGATAGAAGTTCACAGATGCTGCCCATCCAATCTGAAGGAACTTGAGAAGAAGGGTTCTGACAGGAACCAGTAACAGAGATCATGTTTCTCATGTATTAGCTTCTCTTCATTGGCTCCCTGCAAAATCAAGGATGGCATTTAAAATCCTGCTTTGAACATAAAACCTCTCAGTGACCAAGCACCATTTTCCCTTAAAAACCGTATTGTACCTTATCATCCCAACAGAGGCCTTCACTCTCAGACTGCTGGTCTACTTGTGGTTCCTACAGTTTCCAGAAGTAGAATGGGAGGCAGAGCCTTCAGTTATCAGGCTCCTCTCTTATGGAATCAGGTCGCAGTTTGGGTTCGGGAGGCAGACACCCTCTCTATTTTTAAGGTTATGTTTAAAATTTTCCTCTTTGATGAATCTTATAGTTCGGGCTGCTCAGGATCACCTGAACTGTCCCTTAGTTATGCTGCTATAGCTTTAGACTGCCGGGGGATTCTAATGATGTACTGCGCTCCTCTCCTCTTCTCTTCTCTCCTCTCCTCTCCTCTTCTCTCCTCTCTTCTCTCTTCTTTCCATACAGTTATAACCACCATTACATGTCACTAACTCTGTGTTTCCCCCAAGGTCCTGTCCTGTGCTCTCCTCAGACGTCTCAGGATCCGGAGCTTCACGTCCCTGACCTCCAGCCTCACCGACCCCCAAAAGACTTACATTCATATTTATTGTTCTGTTCTATTGCTTGCTCTCCATCTGCTATCCTATTTTCCCCACCCCCTCATCCCCATTCTCACCCAAACGGTCGAGGCAGATGGCCGTCTTCCCTGGGTCTGGTTCTGCCGGAGGTTTTTTTCCCCCTCCATCTGGGGGGGGTGGGTGGGGGGGTTTAGTTCCTTCCCACCATTGCCAACCGCTTGCTCAGAGGAAGTCCAAAGCCTACTTTGGATTGTTGGGTTCTCTGTTTAAATTTGTAAGGTCTATACCTTACTTTATTAAGCGCTGTGTGATAACATGCGCTGTAAACTGCGCTATACAAATAAAATTGGATTGGATTGAACTGAAGATCTGGCAGGAATAATAAAAAAATCCTTCCATATCAAGGTGTGAAGAGCTTGAAGAGACAATAACCGGAAGCTACCTAGTTCTACAAAATACTGAATAAATGGTCTGAATGCTTCTGAGAAAATGTAGTTTTCGATTTTTATAAAATTTGCAAAAACTGCTTAACCTTGTTTTCACTGTACAAGTATGGCTTACAGAATATACATAAATGGGAAACATTGAATTTTGTTTCCATTTAAACCTAAATCTAAAGAATAATGAAGTGTAAAAAAAAAGTGAACTGACAGAAAAAAGTAGTACATGTCAATTGATTAGCTCGAAGAAATCGCAACACAGAATTGTCATGCTGGATTTGCATTAATTTATAAACAATGTCACTATTGTACTGTTTTCTGACAAGACAGTAAAGGAGAGTTGTTGTTTTTAAACTGTAAAGCATCCTTCTCCCTTCACTATGTGTCTTGGTCACGATTCTTAAAATGACAAAGCAACACAAAATATGTGTAATAACAGGAAACTCAGCACATTGACACCCTTATTTTGCCTGTTTCCAGTCTCCTCTCATTTCCTCTTGGGTGTGTTGGAATCAGAAGTTAAAGTACACGCTGTGAGGCAGATTACCTCCCATTGCATCAGATCTGCACTCAGTTTGTTAAGACTTGAAACGGGGCATCAGCGCACTCAGTCAGCTGAATCCATCCATCTACCATCTCTACAGGAAGCAGCGCCGTCTCAAGATCCTCATCAAGAAAAACACAGGAGCCACACTAGTCAAACACGGCAGGGATGGATTCCTCTATAAGAGCCAGCTCTTTACCTCAGAGAGATGCTGATTGACCCTGTGGGTGTGTGTTTGTGTGTGTTTGTGTGCACTTGATTGAGCAGAGGTGAAGGGGAAAGTATTGATTAGAATCTACACTGTGATGGTTTGGGGGATGGGGTTGATTCTCTGTGGGGAAATTATGATGCATTAGTGTGTGTGTGTGTAGGTGTGTGTGTAAGCATCTATTTGCCAAACAAAAGAAGACAACGTCACAAGGTGTCCACCACAGGCATACACTTTGTGTGTCTGTGTGAGAAGCAAAGCCTTGCTGATGATTGATGGAGACACAGGGGTCACCCAGCATGCAAACATACACCCTGCCTCCTCCTCAATCTGAAACACCCCATGGGCAGCACAGTGGTGTGATCACCTTGACACTGTTACCATCTGTTCACTGTGGAACCACAGCAGGATGTACCACTGAGAGGAGTAATGGGACAGAGGGAAAACAGAGGGGAACCCATTTCTTGGTTACGCACAAGTGCATATAAATGACAATTTAACTTTGTGTTTTTGTCTTTTTACAGCAGTTTTGTTCTATAACTCTTCTAAGTGTCACTGATTTCTAATGAGATGCTTCCAGACCATTGACAATTGTGTGGAATGCAAGCTTGACATTATGCGCTGTTGCCCTGCTCTTGTTTATCCTCGATGCATTGAGATAGGTGCCTCTAGGGAAGCCAAGACTTTTCACATTGGTTAATCCCATTAGTCATAATGGCCTTGCGTATTTGAATGCACATGCCCCCACATGTTGGTACACACATGGTCATGCTATGTCAGAGACTCTGGACATCACAGGACCAGAGGTGACCACATGTGTGCTGCACTGTACACAGCCAACCTACATATAAATACACAGTACATAAAGGCTAAACTGTAAGCAGCTGCTAGAAATGCTTTAACCAAAAATGAAAACTTGGCATCAAGTCATTGGATTATCCTCAGTAGTTGGGGACTTTATTTTTCAAAAGAAATTCTCCTATTGAGCATGATCAATGCTGTGAGTACCACAAAGGTCCCTTCATCTCAATCTAAATCTCAAAGATGAATACATAAAAACCCAGACAGATAAGATCCAACATATCTGCATGGCATTAGAGGTGAGTAAGTTACGGTTTTCTTTTTTCTCTCTCTCTTTTTTTTTCTAATTTTGACAAACCCAACCGTTAAACTCCTTGCACATAATCTCATGCCAACTTTTTTTTTCCCCCAAAAGAGATCATTCATCAACACTCCTTTGCAGAAACCTTGATGTCAGTTTAAAATGCAATTCCTCAAGAACTTACTGTGAACTGACATTGGCACAGCTACTTGGCCACTGAATGACAGTTAATCATTTTCAACGCCCCATTCTCTCTCTCTCTCTCTCTCTCGCTCTCTCTCTCTCTGGATATGTACATATATGGATATGTCTGTGTGTGTGTGTGTTTGTGTGCTTTACAAATGTATTAGACCACCACTCAATGTAAGGTTTATGCCAAAAACTTAACATCATTTGTTACCAAATTTACCAAAATTACCAAAATCATTTTATATCTTTCTGTAATGGTTAATAAACCAGTATGTAGAAATTCTTTAGCCAAAATAATATTTTCAATGCTAAAATATAATTATTGTTGTTATCCATGAATTTTCAAATTTATTGTATTACAAAAAAAAATGAAAATATTGTAAAGCACAATATTATTTCCTACGTAAGATGTCAAATTAGTAGGAGCATTCCTGAACAGAAAAATTTGTTTTTGTGGTTGAATGTTATACTTAAGTTTTGACTTCTCAGAGAAGCCCAGTGAGACAGCTCAAATTTGGGTATAAAAAGGTGAATTCAGTTTGAAATTCCTCATTCCTGTTCAAAATGGTAAAACGTTGAGAGCTGAGTGTGCATGATGCTGGATGGTCCATATATATATATCAGCCATGCACTGCCAAGGCTGCTCCATCTCATGATTAGAGTGGTTCTGGAGTGAACCCATATCAACATGATCAAATACCTCTACACACATACAGACGCACACACACTCACAGCCGTGCATGACTTCAGAGGACATTACATTGACTCACATTAATTTCCCAGATACTTCCTCTAAAATAAACTGTAATTACTACTTAACTAACCTTAACCTTAGTCTGACCTAAACATTTATTGATGCATGGTATGACTTGCTTTTTGTCCCTGTGAGGAAGATGTGTCCCCTCAATGTGACTTTGTAAACAGGATTAGGTCGCCACAACGTGAGTAATACCTGCACACACACACACATTCACAAGGCAGGAAGAAGACAGCAGTTGGACCAAGTGACTGCTGTTCAGTAGCTCAGCACCACAATGACACAATATTTCCATTTCATAACAAAGCCTTTGAGACATACCCAAGTCACAGCTTTATTATGTAAGGGAATTCTTCTTTCCCATTCTTTCCATTGTTTATTGTAATTTTATTGTCCTTTATTCTTCTCCTGTAGCTTGTTATAGAGCCCTTCCTCAGTCACACATCCCCAGGGGGGCGCTGCGCACTCACTCTTTAATAAATCATGAATGTGCTCCTCTCACCTGACCCCATCATTTTGTCCTGCTCTCTCGCACGATTGAAAGTGCAATCGCATCTGAATTCTACAATATGATCGCTTCTTTATACAAACACCTTTCATTAAAAAAAAAAGAAACCCTGAGCAGGACGCGGCACATTGTCCAATTAGTCTGTTTGAATAATGAGGTTGTGACGTGCTGAGATGTGTTTTGCTCGTGCAACACGATCCTCAATCGGAGATGGAAAAAAAAAAAGAAAGAAATTCTGCACCCCGAGTGGATTTGGCCTTTGTTTTCGCACAGATCAGAAAGGTCCTGACAGTTGCACAGCTTCAACAGTTCGCAGTTTCTTACCTTGCATAGTAGCCTTCTCAAGAGCCAGGCAGAACCACAACACCGCAACCGCAAACTTCATTCTTCCTCCTGTCCTCTGTAAGACTAAACGGATCTATCCAGAGCGAAGATCAAACCATTTCACTGTTGGCACAGTCCTGCAGGATGCATGTCTTCAGCAGCCAAGTGGGACCTCCGGAGTATCACCGCTGTGATGTCCAGTTTTAACAAGGAAGGACAGCCGGTTGTTGGTGGCTCTGTATAACACGTACCGCCTTCACACTGCGGAGCAGCAGCTTGTGTGTGTGTGTGTGTGTTTTTTTTTTTTCCTTCCTCCGGTTCTGTCGCCTGTTCGGTTTCCCTACAGCTTCTTCTTTCGTGCGTCCCGGTGCAGAGATGGATCCTGCCGGAGCGGAGCTGGGCTGAGGGCGGGACAGAGGAGGGCTGGCCCGTCATAGGATGTGGAGGGAGGACAGATCTGGTCCCCATCCAGTTGGAAATATATAAATAAATAAGCAAACTCAAAAATAAATATATAAATAAAAATAAAAATGTATTACAATACATTTAGATTTTGGGTATTACAGATGTTCTTATGGTAAAGATCCATGAGTTTCCTTTGAGGAAGAAGCTAATGTTTTTTTTTTTCTTCTAGTTTTATTTTGTTTAATCTGTTAATATATAACTTTATAAGTAATAGCAGCTACATGGCCGTAAATTGAAATATTCCACAGTGCAGGTGGATGCTGGTCAAAACAGCAAATGTAAGGCATTTATTTAAGACTAATTTAATGCAATGCTTCAAAGTCATGTCGTTGCTGTTCTTTCCAGGTCAGAGGTTCATCTCTGCTGCATTTTTCATCCGGCATCAAAGAGGGTGGGATCAGACATGACCGGAAATATAGTTCAGTCACACCAAACAGTGATGTACTTAAACTTTGCGCACAGGGAAGCAAAAATCAGTCCTCCAATTTTAGCCGAGCTCCTCTTTAAACGCTACTTTTAACAAGTGTAAGAATGAACCGTGTCTTTCATATAATAATCAAGTCAGCCCGGTGAAACACACAGAATAAATGTTGGAATAAATACAAAGAAAGTTGCTCCACAGCTGAGTTTTCTGGTGCATGTAAAATTCTGTGCTCTAACAGACAGTGTTTGCTTGCTGAGCCGTGGCAGAAATAGTAACACAAAGAATGAATCTAATACTAGAAAGACTTCAACTTTAGAGGATGCACTTCCTTTGGCTCAGCCTGACTGCTGACGCCACATGCTGCATTGCTCTTGCAGAACTTTGGAATGCATTTTTACACAAAGTGGTGCTCAGGCATCTTCGTTCACTCTTTTCAAATGACCAACATCGATCATAAACGCGGCTTCATGAGTCATCAAGTTACTTGTTTGCATGAGGAGCAAAGGATTGTGATGAACTGCAGGAATTACTGCTTTAGTTGATGAGCAACACTCGTGGATGTTGTGAAGCACTTTAGTTTATGATAAATGGCTTAAGATCATCTTTCAGGAAGCGGTGACCTGTAAGTTTCCCCTAAGAAGCCCATCACACTGTTTTATAGGCAGTACATTATCATAAATCAGCAGAGGGAGCAATTTAATGCTTGATTCATTCTGCTACACTCAGACACTTACACATGCCATGCCGTGCCATGTCCTGCTATACTGTACGTGCCATGCTATAATCTCATAGGAGACTGTGGATGAGGCCATAAGCACAAAGAGCGTTTCAAGCATAACTGAATCCATGCTAATAATGTAAGGACACTGTGCAGCGGAGTGAGAAAAGCATTCCAAATGACTGGAACAACACTGTACACTTTGCCGTCACATCCTGAAACCAAATCTGATTAGAGTCCATAATGCATGTGGGCACCGTGGACTCTTATTAGAGCCTGAACCCACAGCGCTGGAGATGGGTTTGCAATCATTTTATGTTCTTTTTCATTCCAAAGCTATCACCTCTCGCTGATAGAAGGTAAAGTGGCAAGAAAGAGCACTTAGTGTAGCGCAATTTATCTAATTACCCACTGTACAAACTGAGCAGATGAGGTGATCTAAGTATTGATCTCGCAGAGAGTTTCCATACACTGTAGGGAAATTGAGAAATATGCGTCTGCTTCAGGTCGATTTGCTCCTGTTACTAGTTAATGGCGATGTAACGGAGAGAAAAATGAACCCACACGAATGCAACAATAGGCTGTGGAGGTTTTATTTCCCTTGCATGTGACATAAAACGTACTGTGTCACTGTGTAAAAGACAACTAGCAGAGGATTGACTGTAAAGAGTGGAGGTGATTTATGGAGATGCAAAGGGGCCGACAGCCAGACCATCTGACAAAGAGCACGGAGCTCGGATTCATTTGCTTTGTGTCATTTATTCAGGCAATCAAATAAGCAGTTGGTTTACTCATAAACAACTCATGGCCAGCCAGTGAAGAAGATGGACTCCTGCTCCCTCACTCGCTCGCTCTCTCCTAATTAAGTTTGAGCTAACAGCAGCTGGAACAAGAACTGCAAGGTGAATCATTCTGCACCCACACACAAACGCATAGAAATGCATGGGATTTGATGCTTCATTCATACTAACAACCGTGAACACACAGTTCTTTGCTGCACACATGCAGGTCACATGCTTGAAAATCCGCCACTTGGCCGCTTTTGTTGGCTTTGTGTATCTCATTAAACGCTGTCTTACTCAGGCACCTGATCGCCGCTTTGCTTTTGCCAAGTCCTGCCCACGAGGGGGGAACCCAGCCTATCTGTCTCACACACAAACAGACACACACACACACACACACCTATCAAGTAACCACAACCTCCCTACTTATCTAACACCCAAACAAGCTGTGTGCCACTTTGATGCGAACAAACTGAGAGCGAATGCTTCAAGAGTCTGGTTATCCAACGCTGGAGGTAAATGTAGACTCTGGATGGTCTTTAAATTGCAGACTACTTCAGTAATTAGTCTCATTCTGCTTTCAATCCAAGATAATTAAGAAAATGAGTTCACATTAAGGTCATCAGCGCTGAGGGGAGGTCGGCAGAGCAATTTGTGCCTTAATTATACAAGAAATGCCCCATCTTAGCAACATTGCCAAAATTCCTGAGGATTTGGAGCAGTGCAATGAGCCTGCAGTTTTCTTTCTTTATGTCTTTCTTTCTTCTCCCACTTAATAATAGCTTTTTATATGTCTATTAACATTTTTTTTCCTTCTCTTTTGGGGAGGAAAGGAGTAGTTCAGTGTATCAGAGACACCCACATCTGTGAGACTTGTGTAGATACAATGTTGTATATATGGTGACATAGTGTAGCATTTGATATTGTTGAACTACTCAGTCACCGTGGAACTGGTGCTGCCCTTTAAGCCAACCGTAACAGACCAAAGCTCAATGTAAGGCACATACATCCTGGCTAACAAAATGTCTGTGCTCTTTATCAAACTGCAATCCTTCCCTATGCCATTTAACAGTAACACTCCAGTGTGTGTTCAGTGACCTTTTCAATCCAAACAGTAAGAGAAAGGTGATCAAAATAAGAGTCTTTGCCCATAGCTGTGTACCAATGTGTCTATTTTTACGTTTACGGTTAACAAAATATGCTATCATGTTGCATTTTCAGAAAATGTTTGACCCAAGCTACATAATTCAGCATATCAAAGCCTATATTTCTTCATTTAACAAAACATGCTATCAAGTTATATTGTGGGAAATGTTGGATCCTGGTTTTCTGGAACTTGACCCAAACTATAAGGAGTAAAATTCAACATATCTAAGCCTATGTTTCTGCATTTTTAGCTGTTCTTTTGGATGTTATTCCACATGATGCATCAGCCAAATACCACACTGAACCTGTGCATTGCAATATAAGCATATAAGCAGCAGAATTTCACACAAGGATATTTAGAAGAAAAAAAAATGACATTACTGTGAATCCTTGCTGCAGGAGCTAATACCTGAGGCTTCAGCTGCTGTCATTTGTCATACTGATGTTATATCATAGCATTACCCTTCCCTCCTCCTCTCCTACTGTGTCTCCTTTTTGTACCAGTACTTCTTTTCTCTCTTTTTCATGAAACAGTTATTTTATTAGGAGGTTTTTCTTTACTTTTTTTCTTTCTTTCTTTCATACTTCCATTCCACGACACCGTCAGTAATTTATTCCTCTATCTTTCTTTCTCTATTATTTGAGAGATCTGGGTTACCACAGCATCATTACCTCCAGATGTTTAGCAGTTATTTCAGGAAGGGAGTTATGAAGAAAAGTTTATGCATTTGCACAAGCACGCACAGGGAGACACAAGGAAAACAGGGATTCAAGCAATGACTTATTAAGCAGATGGTGACTCTGAAAGTGTAGTTAAAGCCGCCAGCGGTGATCTGATATGACCTCTGTCTCTAGGTAGGAGCATCTCCCAGGAGAATGCAGCTAAACTCTCCTCTCAGACTAGTTATCTTTGGCAGAGATAAAGGAAGACAGAAGTAAGTGGGAAGTGGACAATGCAGGGAAAGAGGGCTGGAGCCTAATTAAAGATGAGTTGTAGATTTTAAATTTAAAAGCCATAACAAATCCACTCTTTTTTAATATTTTAATGCAGGCTAATGCTGAGTTCCCTGGGCTCAGGCATGTATGATAGGGAATAATGCATGAGAAGATTTGTAGGACAGGATAGAAATCACCTGTTTGCCTCTAGTGCAAGACTGTAAAAGGGGTTCAGAGGATAGAATGTGTGTATAAAAAAAAGTAAAGTTGTTGGTAAACTACAGTTATATAGTGCAAAAGGAAAGTTTAAGATGAGAACTGGCGTACCAACAGTGTGTTTGCACATGTACACACAAATAGACCCACAAACAGCTCAGCAGATGCTTAAGAGGAGCCGGGATGAAGTGATAAAAAACAGGCTCTTCAATGCAAATTTGTATCTGGAAAAGATAAAATCAAACAAAAATTAGAGTGCCGAGAAACAGCCAGATAAAAAGTAAAGCAGCCGAGAGAGAGACACAGAGGGTCGGGCAGATCGGAAACCACGATGCTGATTATGACAAAGCGATAAGTCTGATTTTCTGCCCCAG